TGGGAACTTTTAGTTTTTTTTTTTTTTTCAAATGTCTCCATGGCTCAGCAGCAGAAGCATTCATATTACTGTTAAGAAAGCTGATGATAAAGCTGAATATAAGTTTTATTATGAAGGTAAATTAAATGTCTGACAGTGATCATTACACAGTGTGGCTCTAATTCCTCACTTCACCATCTGTGTCGCAGTTTCACGTCTCCAAAATGAGCGTACGCGTGGGTCAGAGCTAGCGTGAGGCACCGCACATTTTCACGTCAAGTTTGGGTTTTATAAATCATAACCTTTGCGTAAAAAGTGGCGTGCGCAAGTTTCTGGGCTCATATTGTGCGTACGCAAGTTTTATAAATCCGACCCCTGAGTTGTCTTTCTTAAAGAGTTCCCCTTTGATGTCACTTCCTGTTTCACTTTAGCTGAGCCAAGTTCCACAGAAAATATGCGATTTATGTGACAAAATGAATAAAATCATGTGTATTGTGCAAAGTTTCTTAAATATAATGTTGTTTTATTTGACTTTCTGTAACTGAAGGATATGCACATCACAGGCACTTTAAAAAAATCAGACATATAGACAAGGAGTGAGGTCCTAAGATTGCAGGGAACTCTTCATAAGCAATGAGTACTCAGTGAAGAAGAAACCAATTTGGTCTTTTGTAAATTTATTATAAAATGTGGCACTCAAATTTCATAGAATAATAGATAAAAAAATAACATAAAAACAAAAACAATACAGGCTTAGAAAGTAGTTTAAAGTGAGGCATGGGAAGATACTCAGATTATAGATTGTCACATCGTTTGACGTCCATCATGTATGTCACAAAAATTTACTTTTCAGAGACACACGTGTGTCAAAATACCAAACACTGTCTTCTCCACATTCTGACTCCTGTTTGAGATAAACAGTAAAACCTTAACTGAACTTTGTAATGACCCAAACAATGTCATTACTGTGGAACATTTCTCACCAAACTTGTATAAAAGCATCTCTAAGATATATCACCATAAATAACCCTTTTTTAAGAAAACTGCATATTTAAAGAAAAAATCTAAAGAATTCGTAACCACATTTTTTATTGTAGCTACGCTAATTAAGATCATCTTCTTTTTATGTTGCTAATCTGAATTATATTTATTGATGTCAGCATTTTTCTTAATCYATGAAAACGTTTCATGTAAAAACCATGAAACTCAGACAAGAAAAGTGAAGCTGGATTTCTCCTGAATAAATAACTTTAGCACTAATGTTTAATCAGAATGTGCTTCGCTGTAGCGGTGAAATTTGGCCACCTAATTTCACTTATTCATAGTTTCTTAGAACAGTGATGAGGTTTGAAAAGCACAAGCAGTATTCAGGTTTCCTCTTTGTTCACAAATCTGTGTCCCATTCTCCATGAAAAGACCTGAGTCAAAGCCTTCCACCGCTCCAGTGGTTTTGCGTCACGACACAACATGACACAAACGAAGGCCACAGCTTCCTCTGCCAGAATGTTTGTGCTGCAGTGGAAATGATCTGTCTGCTTTCTSCTTACCAACTTGGTTTGTCTCTTTACACTCAGGCTCTGAGCAACAGGAGCTCTGAACAGAAAAGATATTAAAACTGTAAAAATCGCAGTGAGCTGACTTTTCTCTAAAGATATGCCCTGATCTGCACAACAGGAGAACTTACTCTAGCATAAATCTGAAGTTGTTTTGTGAAAACAGCTCCTGTCTTTGGCCCGTGTCTGAACTTGTTATATCTCTCATAGAGCTTTTATTGATTCAGCTCGTCAGATGAAAAGCCCTCTTGGCCTGACTGTGCCGTAATCCTGTTTTCTTTAAGTGCAGCTTTAATGTTCACGTGTCACCTTATTTTAATCACCC